CCCCCCCCCCCCCCCGCTCGGTACATTACTTTAGGCGACGATAAGCAGTTCATTTTTAATTTCAACTTAATGTGCTTCGTTTCCTTCGAGTTGGATACTTCGTTTAAAATTTACCTCTCGTCAATAATAATTACTGGTAAAGGTGCAAGGTTAAGTCTGCATACGAGTCAACTGGCCCCTCAGGCCGGAGCTTATCCCGGTTTCTGTAGCATGAAGCGACTAGGAGTATTTCTACTCCCCTGAATGGGATGTTAGACCATCGCAGGGTTACCCCAGTATTTAAGTTCGCCGGTACCAATTTATTCACCTGGGTGGAGAAGCACTGTGAGAGTTAAGTGTCTTGAACAAGAACAAAACACAATGACCCCGGCCAGGACCGCTCGATCTGGAGACGAGCGCACTTCCCACTATTTACTGACTGGGGTAAATTGAAAAACAAAGCTAACTATGTGGAAGAAAATGAAACCACATACAGTTGATGTTTTCATTAGATCTTAATCCGGCTTATACTATCACTCGTTGTCGAGTCTTAACACCCAAACAGACAATGAACAACACCATACTCATTCTTTGGCAATCACTAGGTATTTTATTTGTTCTTATTACACGAAAATATAAACAAGACCTAGGAAACGGACGTATCTCAATAAATACTCATGAAAACATATTTACAACCACGATTTGGAAGTACAAAAAATACTCAAAAAAATATACCATTTATGTCAACATCTTAAATATTATAATCAAATGTGTTGTTGATTTATCTCTGTCAAGATTTATTGCTCGATTGTCTTGCACCAGGCCGCGTTATTTTAAGAGCGATGTCACATGACAGTACGTCATACAGTTTTAAACACTGATTGGCTAGTTGTTCGTGGGAAAATAACAGTCACATGATAAGCCATGTAACAAATGCCTTTCTACAAACGAAAATGTACGAACAAAACCCACAAAATAAATACCTTGTTAAATGGTTTGGGATTTAATATAGTGGCCGCTCGTTTGATCGAAAGTCTCTCTAAGCCTGACCCGTGAAAACATACTATACTTTCTTAAACCGAAAATCGTTTAATTAGATTTAATCATGATTGTACAATTTCATCTCTTTTTCACTGGTGCTCAGGCTTTGTGGATAAAGAGACAAGTGCCTGCAGTTCAGCCGCACTGCCGCTATAATTTGCAACATAAATAATTCGCCAACGGTGTTTCGTCAATGTTATAGATATACGTCAAGGAATGGACTACTGGACAACGGATGCAAATCACGATGCGCAAAGATTAAAGAGATTGACATGCATGCAAATGTAGAATGGACCATTTCAGCTCTTCCCGTTATTCGAAACCAAAAGCTCGAAAATCATTCATTTGATTTATGATCTCAAGTTATTTTCATATGAACTCTGTTTCAAGTGAAAGGTTTACAATTAGCCTCAATTCCAAACTTACGTGAGAGGCAGCTCGGATTCAACTTTGTTATTTTAGCACAAGTAGAGGCCAATTTTTGACCATTCTGTCACGAACAAAAACAGAGAGTGGTTTCAGTTGTTAAATATCAGGATACTAGAAAGCCGATTTGTATTTCCTCTAATCATTATGTATAAGATTTCATTTCTTCAAATTTACGTTTAAGTCAGTCTTTGAAAAAAGATAGACACAGATTACTTCATTCGTTTACCAAGCCCTTCTTCGTGTCTTATAAGCCTGACTACATGATTGCGCACAGTGAACTGGTAATCCTCTCCGTTCCTAACTTGTGTCTTCCGCTGCCTTCGTCTTTATTTTTCTTACTCGCAGATCCTTTGGAGCCCTTCACCCCAGATTCCTTGGTACCTTTACCGGAGTCCGTACTGCTGGTATTTTTAGTCCCCAGAGAATCGTTTGAAGAAATCCGTGGAAGTTTGAAACCCGGCGACGATGATACCGAAGGGGACGGAGCCACTGCCCGGGAAGGCCGGATAATCCTGGAGTTCCGGGCGCTCCGCATGTCCTGGGTGGTCTTCCGCATAATCTCATCCACGGAGATGCTATCAGTGCCTAACTCGGCCGATTTTCTCGCTAGTTCTAACTGAGTTTCCAAGTGCTTCGTTCTCTGCTGAAGACGCTTGCTCTCGTTTTCAGAAACTTCCAACTGACAAACAAACAAAACATAGCCAGAGTTCACGTTTGAAACTAGGTAAATACGATAACCAGATTCATGATAGTCATATCCCTTGGGGGATATAGTCAGTCCAGTCACGAAAATCTCACACCATCCATTGTTACAAGCCTACCAGCCCTCGAGAACAAAAATAATGGGCAATCCAGCGGATAGCAATACAGCTACAGGCTGGCAAACGTTGCCAGTGATAACGTTAATAACAATTTACACAGGTAACTAAACTAGCTTGGTAAAACAAAACGACAAACAATGGCTCTTACCTTTTCTTTCAACTCTGAGAGTTCCTCGTCTTTACCCTCAATAGCTTTCTTTAACGTAAACAGTTCTTCTAGCAATTGACGATTCTGTGATTTGAGTTCCTCAATCCTCAAGTCCACTCCTTTACTAGCCACACTCGCTCGGCTCGAACTCCTAAAACAAAAACAAACAAAGAAGCAACAGCCTTACTAACAGCTCGCAGGGTATAATTAATTCATTATTCGTAGCATAAGTAATGCTCATGTATCAAACGAACGATTGGAACAGTCTGAATCATCAGAATACTAAAACATATTAGCGTTACTTAAGCCAACACTGGACATTCTCGTTGGAGGTGCTGTATACATGCAGGTAAACGAGGCAATCTTGCTATCTCCAGTCCTTTTCACTTGCCA